GAATAATAATAATTATTATCATTATCATCTACACGTCTCAACCCCAATGGTTTCCCCATAAAATTACCAAGACCAACACCCTTTTCCCCTCCCGTAAGTGTCTCATCTCCCCGTCACAAGTCGACCATCCTTTCCTTTATTTTTTTCCTACCGTCAACAGTAGGGAAGAAGAGGAATCAGAAAAGAAAGAAATAAACTTGACTCTAGCTCCCAAACACGATGCTACCCAGCCATTTGCCCTAGCAAAGCAGAAACCAGTCCTCAATGCCCTGCCTGCTCCATCGTGCGTTACAACAGCAACAACGGCAATCACCGTTGTAGCGCTCTCCCAGCTCGGCAGCTTGTCTCCCATCTTCGTCGCTCCGTCTTTCTCTCGTGTAACCAATGTGAGGGAGATAGCAACCCATAAAAATCAGAGTCATCGCCATCATCAACTAGGGTAAGGCCCTCGACTCTCATCTGTCCCTAAGCCCTTTTAAATCCTAGACTAACCCGACGAATGTCGTGTTGATCGTAGCTCTATCAATGACACCGACGTAGTCGAGTTCAACCATTATTCGATTGGTGGGTATCGTTATGAAGAGGACGATCACATGAGCATCCCGGTTTGATGATACGTCAGACGAGGAACAACCACTTACTCAGGTGGTGAGAGATGAGTTCTATGGTATTTTTAAAATGAATGTGGAGGTTGAGGTTCCTCCAGGGTTGAAGTTCCCCTTGGTTTTACATAAATCTTAAGTAAAGAAGAGCATGAAAGAAATTGATAACTAAGTCAAGCGTAGGAAGCAGGAGGATGAGTCGTTGCATAGGCAAGCTCCCCCTAGAATTCCTTGACTAGTATCTCGATCTTGGCAATGTATGAGTTGCTTCATCCTTGTGTGATCTAATCCTACCTTGTTCCAAGGCTTCTCTGCCTAGGTCTGACAAGCAACAAAGACCCTTCAAATTTCTCCATTGGGGTGTGACATTGGTTGATCGAATGGAGGTTCGATCATATAGAATTGTCGCCCCAGTATCGATCTATGCGACTAAGATTTTGATGCTTGCATCACAATTGGATGCAAACTCGTATTTGATCATTAAAAAGACAACATAGTGGGATCAAACACAAAAGAAAGAAAATAATAATGTCAATCATATAATGCCAACATTGAGAATACAAAGTCAAGAACCTCTAGGGTTTGCAAACCTATGCAACTAAGGGGGCTAGTCAGCCATGGGGACGAGAGCCATGGGATTCATCAGTCGAAATGAAAAAGAGCCATGGGGACGAGAGCCATGGGATTCATCAGTCTAAAATTGGTGCCTAGAACAGAGGTTTTGGGGTCTAGGCAACCGATCTGGGTGTCGATTCCCTTCTAGTGACTGGTGTCATTCTAAGTCAAGTAGTCCACTCTGTTGGCAGAATAACGGCCCTCTAGTACCTTCTATCACTAGCTACCCAACTCCTCCCACTTGGAAGTCTAGTTAAAGACTTTTCCTTAGGACTTTGGGGGAGAGAGGACGGCTAAATGATGCATTTTGGCTTCCCTTCCATCTCTTCCAGCTTGGTCAATATGCAAGGTATATAGTCTGGAGAATCTGGCAACTTCTAGTTGATCTTCAAAATGACGCTTGGGGTCCATTTCATTGGTTAGGTCGCCGTTTTTGGCGCCGTTTTAGTATTCTCTCCATTTCCCTCTTCTCGCTTTGAGTAGTCAAGTCCTTATGTCCCTTCGAAGATCCAAAGTGGTCCACTAGGTTGCTATGCCCGAAAAACACGTGAAACACTACAAAGAGTGCATAAAAATGATAAAAGTGCTATTATAATGCACTTTGATTTATCATGAAACAGATTCAAGATATTATGATGTTAAAAACATGAAAACCATGAAAAATAGGTCATAATATGGGGGTTGGAAATAGTAATTTTTATATGTCATCAATGAGAAATCATGGGTAATAATATTTCTTAAGCGGAATGAGATATGATAAATCTAAAACATGCAACATTAACTTTATATGTTGATTGTTGGAAAACTTGGAAAACTTGGAATATATGTTAGACACCCAAGTGCAACTATCCTAAACAATGTTTTTACTTCTTACTTTTTCAAACGCCTTTAATTCTTGTTTTTCCTTCGCTTCTACTTCTTGCACATAGTTTTTATTGCTTTTTATTTTATGCTCAAAGTTAGTTTAGTAGGAATCAAAATTAGGGACTCCTCAACAGTGACAGACCTAGGAATTTTACATAGGGGTGTCATCTTTCAAAAAAGAATAAAAAGAATAATTAAATAATTCTTAAATAAGAAAATGCACAACTCATACAAGTTAAAAAAGTCCATGATGTATTTTTCATATTCTGAAAAAATTGTAAAATACACTTGGAGTCTACACTGCTCAACAAAGTTGTCTCGGTATATCCTACTAGACAATCATTCACAAACTTACGCATATTCAACTTCTAAATTTATTCTTGATGTACCTCAAAGCTGAAAATACACTTTTAACACTTGTCGTACAACCATAAAATCAACACAAATTAAAGATAGCTTGTAATTAGATTAATTGTTAGGTTTTGAAAATAATTAAAGATAGAGAATAGAGTTTTGCTGTTACACAATATTTAGAATAGAACAACAAAAAAAGTTGTAGCCTAATGGAAATTATATTTATTAATAGTAGTAGTGTTCCGGGTTTGAGTTACTCAAACTACCACTTATATTCCCATACGCAATTTACAAAGGAGAGTAGGATAATGATTTTTTCAAATTTCAGGGTGTCCCGGACTATTAATTATATTTTTTTGTCCATACGTAAATTATCACCGGTGATTGGATGCTTGAATAATTATTTTTCTAAAATTTAGAGGTGTCCCGGGACACCCAATCCCTGGTTCCGCCCCTTCTCCTCAATCCCACTTGATTTTCTTAAACCGTTAATCAATATCAAAGTAGAGATATTATCAAGAACCTCGTTGAACTCCTCTGCAAAATGTAATTTGCTAAGGGTAATTGGAGGATTCTCAATCACCACAAATGCAGCGGTAGAGAGAGGAAGCCTCTCCCATAGTACCATCACAATCTCAATAGGAGAAACTACCTTGACTAGAGCACTTCTACTATGTTATATAGCATTGGTGTTTTAATGTACAACTTGAAGTTGTACCATAACATTAAATGTATAAGTTTAGGTTGTACCATAAAAGGAATTTGTACCATTATGTTATGGTACAACTTTACAACTTGAAGTTGTACCATCACATAAAGGTACGAGTTCAAGTTGTACCATAAAAATATTTGTACACGAAGTATAGGTACAATATAAAGTTGTACCATAACGTTAAAGGTACAATTTCAAGTTTTACCATAAAGCAAAAAACCTATAACACCAATACTATATAGCATTGTAAAATTCCTCCCTTGAATATGGTAAGATCAACAATTGTAGGCTCTTTTTGAATCCAATCTCTCTTTCTAGGATTAGTATAGGGAATCCAATCATGACAAAAGAACATCACACTCAATGCAACAAAATGGATGTTTGCAATATTTCACATTCACCAAAAAATCACGGGAACCATTAGGAGTAAGTCAAAATTTTGCCAAATCACTAGCTCCATAACTTTCGGTTTGAAAATACTAAATTCAAACCCACCCAAAAAGATTAGAAAGCTACGATTTATTCATGATTGGGTCGGGTAAGCTATACCTTTAACTAAAACCCAAGCCTACACTAAACAATTTGTATAACTAATTAAAATCTCTAGCAAATAAACCAAAGCGCAAAACATAAAAATGCATAGAAGTTGTTTGGATCTTGATGAAGTGCAATTTGCTTCAACACATATATAGTATTTTTCATAAACATTTGCTGAAATAAGGTAGAGACATTATACATTAGCTAACACATCAATAATATGTTATTCTTATAAAAGTGTATATACATAAAAACACAATGTGAACCATAGCCTATACTAAATATGTCTAATATGAAAAAATATCATAATTTCCTCACAAATATGGTTGTATAAGACATAAATCTGTTTTGGATACGAACATGTAAGATAATAACCGTAACATAGTTTGGGTCGGGTATCTACGAGTTGCATAACAAAAACCCACACCCAATCTAAAGAGGTGGGTCCACAAAGGAAAACCCCCACCCTCACCCAATCTTAAATATTAATTTTAGTAATAAGTACGAGTGAAGTGGATCGACTTGAACGGGTGGGTTAGATTACTGTTACTTTTTTTTTTGTACCCCAAGAAGCAACGCTTTCAAACTCCAAACTTTATCCATAAAAGGAGAAAAAACTGAACTTTATAAATAATCGAAAAATGTACCGAACTGACGATTGAACCAGACTAAACCAATTGAATGCACTATTAATCTGATCTTTAATTTTAAAATATCTTTCACTATTAAATCTCCATTCTAATGAGTTTAGTCTTTTTTTTTGGTAAGAATAATGAGTTTAGTCTAATCCTATGCCAAACCCATCTATTCCACATCCCTACTCCAAGTCCACCCCCCTTCCCACAAAATTGTTCTTTTGCACTTTGCCCCTTCGAATAAGGAAAATAACAAATACGTCAGTCTTCCTCCCCACAGTCCCTATCTCTTTTCTCCTCCGCCTTGTCTGCGCCTGCTTACAATTTAAGCAGTCTCGCTATTTGCTAACTTACCTATATCTCTCCCTTCCCATTTTCACCCGAATATAAAATACAAACATTCCTACGCTCCTCCTTTTAACCTTTTTTCTTTACCCAACGACTGGTTGTTTTATCATTTACAACACTCCAAACACAAAAATAAAACCCTCCCTTTCCCCCCTTCTTCCTTCTAGAAAATTTTCCCTCTTCTTTTCCTTAGGGTTTCGGACTCCGCTCCACTGCGAGGATTAGGTAGTGACTGGTAGTAGAGAAGAGAGTTTACTCAACACTCGGCCCTTTCTGTTTCTTTCATTTTAGGGTTTATCAGTAGTCCCATTCATATCATCGATAAACCCCAAAATGGCGTCCCTCGCTGTGGCCGCCGAACGACTCAAGGACTTGTCCCAGCCTATTGATGTCTCATTGCTCGACGCCACCGTCGGTGCTTTCTACGGCACTGGATCTAAAGACGAGGTACCTCCACTCTCTTGTTCACCTTTTCCTTTCTTGTTATTTGTCTTCCCTGTTTTTGAGAATGGGGAGCGGGAATCCAACTGTTGATTGTTGGAGCTTGCGGTGCTCGTTTTGGCGGGAGTTGAGTTTGGTTGGCGGCGGAGTAGAGCTGTGTTTAGTGGTCTGCTGGCACACTGTTCGCTTGAGAGTTTGGTTCTGGTCAGGGTTTGGTTAGTTTGTTGCGAGCTAAGTGGTAGAAATGAGGCATGCCTACTCTCTTCAGTTATGCGATGCCTGAAATAGGATGGCTGCCGGCAGCTTATCATAGGTTTGGTTTTCCGTGCGTTCCGGTTTGCTGGGTATGGCTGGCATTGTTGCGAAAGTGTTGCAAGTTGAATCTTTTGCTTCGACGGAGGGTACGTTGAAGAGGTACAGGTGTTGTTAGCTTGCTCTGATTTTGCTGCTTGACCTTGACTATGGGGACGAACTTATGCTCCTTTCCTGTTTGGCTTGTAGTTTCGGTCATGTTACATCACTTTCTCCTGTAATTTGGTGTTATCGGACTACTTCTTTTCCGTCAGACTACATGCCTTTTAAGTAGATTCGTCAGCCTAACGCTTTTGCTATCCTCACCTTCCTGCTTGTCTTTTCTGCTTGCCTCCTGTGACGGTAGAGGGCAGCAGCAGATAGGATTTTGCAGGACTTGCAAGGTAATCCAGATATGTGGCTCCAAGTGGTGCACATTTTGCAGAACACAAAGAATCTGAATACCAAATTCTTTGCCTTGCAGGTGAGTTTTGTTTTAGCTTTTGTTATTATTGTCATATATTATATTATGCAGAATGGTGTTTAGAGATATTGGCCCTGTTTGCTATTTTAAATGCAGTTTTTGGTCCCCAATTTGATGAAAATTTCTGGATAATGTCATTTTGTCATGGACGCTTGTTAAGGGAAATTCTGGGTTTTTCATTTTCTTTTGCCTTTGGCTTTACTGATATAGTAGTTCTGTTCCTTAACTTTCAGTTCTAGGGTTATTGGATCCATAAGAACAAAGTTTTTACAGGATGCAACATAAAACGTCTATCAGCGTCCTCATCAGTCATCTGTACATGTATGTAGACATATTTTAGCTCTGTGGTCTGTTTAGGTAGCTGATATTGTTACTGCTCTCATTCTTGTGCTCATTTCTACTGCTATGCCCAATTTGGTATGAGATATATCTATCAGATGTATGGCCATTGATGGCACCGGTGTGAAATGCGGCTATCAGCTCCTAGCGTTCTGGGCTTTGGTAATTTCAGTTGGAAAAGTTGTTTTTTTGTCCTGAGATGTAACCAAATAGAGCTTGACATATTGGGTTTAGATTATTTGTGAACCACCTGGGGCTGTTTAATTATTGAATTTTTTTTTAGATAAGGGTGATATAGGTTACTTTTTTGTTATTTGGTAGTACTGAAGGGACTCGAACCTGGGATCTCCAGGTTCATGGCTAGTGGTATTACCACTAGACCAATCCATTGTTCGTTTAATTATTGAATTAGGAGAAGTAAGTTTATATGTTATTAAACTAATTGGAGCTTGTTGAGGGGGTGTAATGAGCTGTCGTCTTCTTCTGCTAGTTATTTCCCTTGATGAATGCAGTGAAAAGCTATGCGATGTTAAATTCAACTAATCTCTTGCAAAACCAATGCCGAAATGTCCATTTGTTTTTATTTTTTCATGAGTGAAACTTTTTGAGTTGGAAACTGTTTGTTCAACTCTCTCCAGGTTTTAGAAGGTGTTATAAAATACAGATGGAATGCATTGCCAGGAGAGCAACGAGACGGGATGAAGAACTACATATCTGAAGTCATCGTGCAGGTAAGACCTTGAATTTGGAGAATATCTATTGATTTTTATTTTCACAAGCAGAGCTGATCTTACCTAGCTTTTAATTTTATATTATATTCTTTCAACATTTTTTCTTAGCTTTCAAGTAACGAGAACTCTTTTCGTCAAGAAAGGCTGTACGTGAACAAGCTCAATGTCATTTTAGTCCAGGTTCGTCTGCATTGCTGTAGTTTGCTCATCTTTTGGACATTTTGGTATGCATAACTTGGTTTGATCTTGTTATTGGTGTACTGGTGTGCATGATTACAATGCTTGCTGATTGAAGGAAAATATATTAACTTGTTTTATAACTTTTCTAGAAGTTCCTATGTTTTGAGATACCGATGTTGCTTTAATATCCTTTTAACAATGGCCTGTGTGCAGATTTTGAAGCATGAATGGCCATCTAGGTGGCGTAGTTTTATTCCTGATCTTGTAGCTGCTGCAAAAACCAGTGAAACTATCTGTGAGAACTGCATGGCTATTTTGAAAGTGAGTCTACTTGTCCTTTTGTTCTGCTGTCTTCTTTATTGAACATGTTGGTGGTGTTTGGTATTGACGAAAATTTCCTATCAGCTTCTGAGTGAAGAAGTTTTTGATTTCTCTCGAGGGGAGATGACCCAACAAAAGATAAAGGAACTTAAACAATCCTTGAACAGGTAAATTTTGGGGACTGTAGTAACGTGTATATTTATATTGTTATTAGCGGACTTATATGAAGATTGTATCATGTCTTGGATTTGTTGTTGTTCTGTTGGTGTATCTTATGTATTGCTCTGCTTATTTTAACTCTCCAGCTTACTGTTCTCGACTGTAGGTTACTCTATATATTTATATTGATGTGTATAGTGAACACTGTAAGGTGCTATATCTGGAATTAGTTTTACCCAAAATTTGTTATTGGTAATTTGCAGCGAGTTTCAACTCATCCATGAGTTATGCTTATATGTACTGTCGGCATCTCAAAGAACAGAGCTCATTCGAGCAACACTGTCCACATTACATGCTTTTCTTTCTTGGATCCCTTTGGGCTACATCTTTGAATCCCCGTTGGTATGTTAACTTTATCATGCTTCATCTTTTATGTGGACTTATTATTGAACTTGTATTTTTGTCTTCCTTTACAGTGATGCCTTGTTTTAAAAAATGTATTGACTCATTACCCTTCTGTTTAATCCAGTTGGAAACACTTCTGAAGTATTTCCCAATGGCATCGTATAGAAATCTAGCCCTTCAGTGTCTGACCGAGGTTTGTTGAAGCTTAATGAATGATTATGCTTTCTTATCATTTAGCTGGTTGATGCTGATAAAGATATGGTGTGTTCAGGTTGCTGCTCTTAGTTTTGGCGACTTTTATGATTTGCAGTACATCAAGATGTACAACTTTTTCATGGTCCAGTTGCAGGTTTGTCAAACATTGTTTACTTGGAATTAACACACATCTTTGTGTTTTTGCTATGATTTGATGGGTTTTGTTGTCTAAAATTTTCTGAGTTCATATTCAATGTAGCTGGCTGGTTCTTGTTTATTCTTTTGTTTATTTTAATTATCAACCTGTCAACCTGTAGGTCATACTCCCACCCACCACAAAAATTCCAGATGCATATACTAATGGATCTAGTGAGGAGCAGGTTGGTGTTTGCACTACTCTGTCTTCCCTCGTCGTAAATTCCATGTGCTTGGCTGATGTCTGCTCCATTACTGTCCAGGCCTTTATTCAGAATTTGGCGCTCTTTTTTACCTCCTTTTACAAGGCAAGCCTCCTCTCTAGATCCTCTTTACACATTGCTGATGATGAGAGGATGTGCATAATTACTTTTGTCACATTGCAGAGGATAGTTTTATTATTGTGTGAACTGGTTGCTTAGTTAGTGTTGTTTGATGTATTTGAAACAATCTGTACTTTTATTCAATTATCTGGGAAGCCCGAGTGCCTTGATAATTGTGATGGATATAGTATCGTGTTGAGCACATAATGCAGGGGCTTCTTTTAAGCAGTCGGTTATTTTGTGTTGTATCTACTGCTAACTAACTCTGGTATGCAGGCTCATATTCGGATATTGGAGTCTAGTCAGGAAAATATATCTGCTCTTCTGATGGGTCTGGAATATCTCATTCACATTTCATATGTTGATGACACTGAAGTTTTCAAGGTTCTTGCTCTTCACCGCAGTAATTTGCTCTCCACATTGTAGATGCACAAAGTTACTATGTGCAAACAACCTTGGTTATGCTGGTGATTGCCTTTGCTTTTGTATGGTTACCAGGTTTGCTTGGATTATTGGAACTCCTTGGTGTTGGAGCTCTTTGAGGCCCATCATAATCTGGACAATCCTGCAGCAACTGCAAACATGATGGGGTTGCAGGTATGGAGTTCTTTCCTCTTTCTAGAGATGTAAGCAGCTGTTTGCATTCTTTGTTAGCATCTTGGTGCTGTATTTTCTGCTCTGGTACTTGACTAGTGACTTACAATATGTATTGTACATCTTCCTTCCTGTATCTGCTAGGTAGCACCATTATACAAAAAAAAAAAATGATAAACCAGTGCTGGCTGCCACCTTTGGCCATAATAATTTTACATCTGTTTTATTTTAACTATCTGCACTTAATCCTCTGGACGCCTATTGTGTGATAGATCTCTTAAACGGATGGGTATGGCTAGATGTTAGATTTGGAGAGCGAAAATGAACAAGTAGTACTGTTGTGATGTTTGGATTGATGTTTTTGACTTGTGATTTGTTCATACCTACACTAATGATATAAAATTGTCCTCATTCAATTGAGTTTTTTACTCCCTCTGTCAATGAGGAAGCTTAGGATCTCAAATTAGCAGCTCTAATTTGGTAAAATGTCCCTTGCCCATTTATCTTCTGTTTATGTTGCCTAACTCAGGAAGGCTAAAGCTCCCGTGTTGACTGTTTTTACTATGAATATCAGGTGCCCTTGCTTCATGGCCTAGTCGATGGCATAGGTTCTCAAATAATGCAGCGGAGGCAGCTTTATGCTGGTACAATGTCGAAGTTGCGTATGCTTATGATCTGTCGTATGGCTAAACCTGAAGAGGTTCTCATAGTGGAAGATGAAAATGGAAATATTGTTCGTGAAACCATGAAAGATAATGATGTGCTTGTTCAATACAAGGTAACCAATTGGAACATCAATTGTTTCTTCCCTGATTTCCTGCCAATAAGCACATTCTACCTTTAACTATTTTGCTTATTCTGCGGCTAATATCACATGATGCCATGTTTAAATCTTTAGATGATATCTGATAAATTGAGTGATGCAGATCATGCGGGAAACATTGATCTACTTGTCGCATCTTGATCATGACGACACAGAAAAACAGGTACTGGATCATGTCCTCTTTTTTGGGAATCGTTCACCTGTCCACCTGTAAATGTGAATGTGATAGCTGCCCATTTTCCCATAGTTAGAAGCTATTCCTTTGATTATTTCCCTCTAGGGATATCATTTGTTTCCTGACAAGGTTTCTACGATTTAAGTGTCACAGCAGAAGCTATATGGATTATTTTTTGGTGCTCGTCTGAGTTATGCTCTCTACTAATATGCTGTAAAACCTTTTCTCTGGGTTATCTATATGATCTTTTATGTCCCTGACTGTAGATGTTGAAAAAGTTGAGCAAACAACTAACTGGCGAGGATTGGAGCTGGAATAACTTGAACACACTATGCTGGGCGATAGGCTCCATCTCTGGTTCCATGATGGAAGAACAGGTAGACAATCATGAAAACTTTCTCATCTGGTTGTTTCCCTGTATGCTTGTGTATATTATTTTTACTGTAGGGCTAGCCAGTGATCTACAGGTCGCAGTTATGCACCAGTTGTTTTTTAGTGGTCCAGTGTGAGGATGGAGTTGATCTGTGCTATGGACAATACTTGGAAGGACAGTGTACTATTCTAAGGATAAGGATAGCATATCAGATGACATTGTGGGTCGATGAAGACATTTGTGGACATTATCTTAAGACAATTGTGTACAAATGGTTTTTCCACATAATAATGGGTTTCCATAGTACCATAATTAGGGAAGATATACCAAGCTATCTCACATAATTTGTCGCGGCATAGTATTTCTGTGTATTTAGTAAGTGAACTAAGTATAGATAACTCGTGTTCTCCCACCAAGTGCGATCTCGTTTCTGCTATGAGATTGTTAAATATGCTAATGGAATGATGCTAAACTTTGATTCAGCAACATGAGCTGTAATAGGTTGTTTCCTTTTCTTTAACTTTTTTGTGCTTTTATCAGTTCCTATTTACATTCTTATTACTAATCTGATCTCTGTTACTTGTTTGTTTATGCTCATATTCTTCCAGTTTGTCTCATGGTATATGATGGACTCCTCAATATTTGTTTTTTTGGCAGGAAAATAGATTTCTGGTTATGGTCATCCGTGACTTATTGAATCTGTGCGAAATCACAAAAGGAAAAGACAACAAAGCTGTTATTGCAAGCAACATCATGTGAGATTCCATATTTATCTTGTTTCCAGGCTTTGGTGGATATTTATGATTAGAGTATATGATGGCCCTGTTCAGGTGTGATGTTTGCTGATAAATCTGGGTAGGTTCTGTAGTGGACACTATTGAAAGCAGTTTTAGTGTTGCTCAACTTATTCTGTTGCAAAATATTTTTTGGCAGGTACGTTGTTGGACAGTATCCACGATTTCTTAGAGCTCATTGGAAGTTTCTGAAAACTGTTGTCAATAAACTTTTTGAGTTCATGCATGAGACTCACCCTGGAGTTCAGGTTACTCATTTCGTCTTTTTTTATGCACTCTGTTATACTGTCCTTTCATGTATCTAGGTATTGTTTTGTATTGCCTCAGCAGCTCATAAAGTAATGCCAACTATCATGCCTTAAATTTCCAGGATATGGCTTGTGATACCTTCCTGAAAATTGTCCAGAAATGCAAGCGGAAGTTTGTTATCGTACAGGTTAGTAGATTTTTGTGGTCAAGTATGATAGCAGTCTATTGCTCCTATACATGGTATTTTAGGGATAGGCATGCCCAATAATAAACTACACCTTTGTTCTCAGGTTGGAGAAAGTGAACCCTTCGTATCTGAGCTTTTGTCTGGCCTTGCAACCACTGTTGGTGATCTTGAGCCTCATCAAATTCATACATTCTATGAATCTGTAAGTGATGGTTAGTTGTATGAGTTGAGTTGGTTCCTGAGTATTTTATCTATGTTTATGACACTTGACTTCCTTTCTGTTAGGTTGCACAAATGATTCATGCAGAACCCGATCCACAGAAGAGAGATGAATATTTGCAGAGGCTCATGAATCTGCCAAACGAGGTTAGTTTTAAGATAAATGCTGGACCAAGGGATTGGTTCTGTAAGGCTTTTGGTTTGGGTACCTAGTCCATAGGGATCAATTTTGTTTTATTTGGATGAAAACTAGAAGAGGGCATTGTTTGCATTTACTTGGTGTACCTATTTCCCGACTTGCTCACCAATTTTGGGTACCTAGTCCATAGGGATCAATTTTGGGTACCTAGTCCATAGGGATCAATTTTGGGTACCTATTTCCCGACTTGCTCACCAATACCATCCTCATCCATCTTCCCTTGGTGTGTTATGGTTGCTTCGAATAATGTCCTTTGGTTTGCAGAAATGGGCTGAGATTATAGCATCGGCTCGTCAGAGTGTTGATTTTCTGAAAGATCAAGATGTGATTCGAACAGTGCTTAATATACTGCAGGTATACTCTGTAGTACTACCCTTGAATTTCTGATTATGTGCTCTACAATGATGTCACGGTCATAGTTCTTCTGATGCCAAGTCTGATTGATTTCTTGAAATTTTAATCATGCAACCCTTGTTAGTTGAAACCTAGAGAGTTTTACACTCTTCAGTTCAGTTCTAGTAGTTCCAACTTCTTATAACTTATTATAAAGAAACATTATAAGTCATGCTAAGCTAGTGAGTTGTACTATTATTTTGCAGACAAATACCAGTGTTGCAACTTCTCTTGGAACTTACTTCTTACCCCAAATATCTCTGATCTTTTTGGACATGCTTAATGTGTACAGGTATGTCACTTAAAAGCAATCTTTTTGGTGTGTTCAGATTGATTGCCAGATTGGATAGTATAATTGTGTTACTTTTTCTTGATCCTAATGATTAGAAGATGTGTGGATTCCCTCCTACAGAATGTATAGCGAGCTTATATCAAGTACCATTGCAAATGGTGGACCTTTTGCATCACGAACATCCTATGTAAAACTATTAAGGTGAGGCTATTAAATGATATATGTCGTATAGGTAGAGGTGAATCCCTTGGTTTCTTATGCGTTAAGTTTGCAGGTCCGTTAAGAGGGAGACACTTAAGCTCATTGAGACGTTTTTGGACAAGGCTGAGGATCAGCCTCAGATTGGGAAGCAATTTGTGCCCCCGATGATGGATCCTGTTCTTGGAGACTATGCTAGAAATTTGCCTGACGCTAGAGAATCTGAAGTTCTCTCACTTTTTGCGACAATTATAAACAAGTATGTATTCCAGACAATTTTTCAGTACCATCTTAAGGTTGATGGTAGATGACATATGGTGTTGTTTTGCAATAAAGATGAAGGAACATGTGATACTGGGAGATCCAAGATTTCCAATATTCTATACATCATTTTTGTTCCCTTAGCCTCACTGGCAATGGTTTAAAAAGCTTTTTGATTGGTAAACATTCTTTTTTTTTTGTTAATTTCCTTATGTTTTTGTTCTGAAGGTATAAGGCTACGATGATAGATGATGTTCCTCGCATTTTTGAAGCCGTCTTTCAGTGTACTTTGGAGGTGAGATTTGAGGTTGTATTTGTTTGTTACGTTTTCTTTGCTTCAAGTGTCCTTGAAGTTCTTAGGTTTCTCTCTGATCAAATGGATGAAATTTGATAGGATACTTACAAATATAAAATTTTCCCGCCAATAATGCTTTTGCATTCTCCTATACCTGAGTTGATGACTGGCCTTCAAACACTGCAGATGATTACCAAAAATTTTGAAGACTACCCGGAGCATCGCCTCAAGTTCTTTTCACTACTTCGGGCAATTGCAACCCACTGTTTTCCTGCTTTGATTCATTTGTCCAGTCCGGTAGGTTGATTTGTTGATACGTTCGAGGCAGAACATCAATTCTCTCTATTGACTTCACTTAGTCTCTTTTGGAATGGATTCTTTATGCGTGATTTTATTCCATTATGGTTTCTTCATACGCCAAATAATCCATCTTTGCCTCTTTGTATTTTCCTGTTCTCCAGCAACTGAAGCTAGTGATGGATTCAATTATATGGGCTTTCCGGCATACAGAGAGGAACATAGCGGAGACAGGGTTGAACTTGTTATTAGAGATGCTGAAGAACTTCCAGGTTTGTGCTTATTGTTATATAACATGTTTTTCAGCCTTGGTGTATTTCGTCTTCCTGTGGATTCCATATTGGAAACTAACATTTCAGGGATGGCATGGCAGGCGTCCGAGTTCTGTAATCAGTTCTACCAGACCTACTTTGTGACGATTGAGCAGGAGATATTTGCTGTGCTGACGGACACATTCCACAAACCTGGCTTTAAGTTGCATGTCTTGGTGCTACAGCACTTGTTCTGCCTGGTACTTTTCTGCCTATATGGTTCTGCTGTATATATATTTGTGAGTGACTATAATGGTGTGGAAGGATTCCTTCCGTTCATGCCTACACTGGTTTGGTTGGTGACAGAGATGAAATTTGGTCAGGTTGAGAGTGGGGCCCTGACAGAGCCTTTGTGGGATGCTGCAACTGTTCCCTATCCTTATCCTAATAACTCAATGTTTGTTCGAGAGTATACAATCAAGCTATTGGGGACTTCGTTCCCCAACATGACTGTAGCAGAGGTAGAAACTTCTGGCAATATGTTTTTTCGGTCTCTTGCTGTCGTGACAATTCTTCCCCATTTCGTATGAAAATGTTTAATGTGAATCTACATCTGACGAAGTTGCTGGTTTCAGGTTGGTCAATTTGTGAATGGGCTATTTGAATCGAGGAATGAGTTATCAGGATTCAAAGATCGCATTAGAGATTTCCTTGTGCAATCAAAAGAATTTTCAGCTCAGGTATTGCTGTCTGATGCACAATTCCATGTCTCTATGTCACACTGTAGAGCTAGAGTTAATGGGGTTGGGAAAGCATTCACAGGAATCAGTTTGTAATGATAATGTCTTCGATTGATCCTATGTTTTAAAGGTGGCTTATTGTGTAATGCTTTCTTCTGATGAGTTGGTTTTGTGCAGGACAATAAGGATCTTTATGCTGAAGAGGCTGCTGCTCAGAGGGAGAGAGAGAGACAGCGAATGCTCTCTATTCCGGGGCTTATTGCCCCAAACGAGATACAAGACGAGATGTTGGATTCATAGAGGCCCCGTTCCCTCGACAGAGCAGCATAGTTTTTGGTGGGTTTTAACTTTGGAGAGCGGGTTAGTGTGGGGGGCGTATTGATTCCAGTTTCTTAAGGAGTAAATGAATGTTGAATCAGATATACCGCATTCATTCGTTCCCTGGCTAGATCTCCCCCTGAAGTTATAAATTAGTAATGAGCGAGCATGGGCAGCGAAGATTTGGGTGGAAGAGTGACATTGGTTCCAAGGGATGTTGCTATATTAGTTGGCTTTTGGGTTGTAGAGTTTGTAGCTTGCTAGTTTAGGGAAAGAAGATGGTATTGATTTATACTTGAGGGATCACTGTGTACGGGTTTTGTAGGGGTGGGGATCCGGCTTCGTACCTGTATAATTATGATCTCCCCCGACTCCTTCAGGATATGTACACCCTTATTGAGTTGATATATGTTCTACATTTATTTATAGACTGTCGGAGCTGGGTCTTCCTTTGATCACCTTGTTTTGTAACTGTTGGCTTGTTGATAATTCTGGATCAGTCTCTTGAAGTACAGTTTGCTCTTTAGATGAAGCCATTCGATGTCGCAACCAATGCTTTAAATCGTCTCCTAACATCCCAGTCTTCGTCATTGTGACCAACATATACATTGCTCGAGCTTACAAATTCTTATAGGTTTCATTATATTTTGTTTCTAGACAAGTTTTAGGTACCAGAATAGGCTGTATGTAAGAAAGCAAGATATGTTTATTAATAGTATCTGTCAGGTATCGTGAGAAGATAATTCTTGTAGCTCGTACAAGCAAAGCAGTTAAAATTGGGATTTTAAGTAAAATCGAAAAGGGTTAGAGGTAAAATATGCCCCTCTACTATGATGATTTATCAAACATGCCCTCAATTATTTTTTACATTAAACATGCTCCTGTACTTTGAAAAATTATCAAACAATGCCCTTATGTTAAACATTCCATTGAAAAAATCGTTAATCATGATTGAACCGAGATTTAGACAAGTCGATATCTGCAAATGGAAGCGAAAATGTCAGTTTTGTCTCCCGTTTTATTTCTCTAGGTCTCTTCAAAGTGAAATTATTTGAATTATTTGACTATACAAAAGAACCAAAAAAAATTCTAAAGTAAAATTATTAGGGATATTTTGGACATTTGTGTCACCCAAACCAAAGTTAGGCCTTTGTTAATGTATTTTTGATGAAATTTTTTAAAAAAGGGCATGTTTGATAATTTTTTCAAAGTATAGAGGCATGTTTGATGTAAAAAATAATTGAGGGGCATGTTTGATAAATCGTCATAGTAGAGGGGCATATTTTACCTATAACCCAATCGAAAATGAAGGTAAAATTGGAATCGTAAAATCGTAGGATTTTATGGTCTATATAAAAACGAAAATAAAATAATATTAATAAGGAAAATCATGAACAACACAAAAAGACATAACAATTGTAATGATAATTTGTCAAGGTTAATGTTAATAGATGGTGAATCGATGTTGATTAATACGTTGATGCGAATTGATGATTGTCGATTGTGGTTACTGTGAATTATGTTGGTCGAGGAGAAGGAAAATAGGTGTAATTTTTTCGAATACAGGTAAAAATAAGCAAAATTAACTCAAACATTTGAATCGTAAAATCATAGGATTTTAAAGATTTAAATCGTGAATAGTGTAGGATTTTAAGGTCGATAGATTTTGTATTGAAATCAGACTCGGAGTAGGTAAGTAAAATCGTAGCATTTTAGGATTTAAATCGTGATTTTGACTACTATGGGTACAAGTACAACTACGAGATGACTGATCAATCTAGGGCGTAGCAGATAGCAATTCCACCTACTCGAAGAAATCATTCTGTGGAGCTTCCCTAGGGCTTAGTAGCCTTCTCAGCTTTCTCCTTAAGAAGTGGAACATTGTCGCTCATTCTCTTCCCCTGTCCAAACAGCTCACCAAACCATCCTTGGAAAACACTCCACCTTCCAAGTTAACACCCATCTCTCCCACATATCTTCAGCATCCTCACGTTAAGCCTCTGATCCCAAAAGAACAGCCTACAGATCATCAAGACCTGCATTGCATGTGTTGCCTCTGCCACCACTGAGCCGAAACTGATGTATGTGCGTGATGAGTGCGCGAGTAATGATAAAAGGTGAACAACGAAAAATAATAAACAAATTGTTGTAATAATTAATTAATATCCAGGATGCCCGCTTTGGAATGAGTTGATGAAGACTGCTGCTGCTGATTTTGGGAGGTGGTTTGACATGCCGTGGAGAAAACGGAGGATAAGTTCCCCATTACCACTCTGTTGTTGGGCGGTAATTTTGGGTGTAAACACACTCCTTCCGCCTTTGGTCTCCTTTGCTTCTTCTGCACATTGCAGGAAACTAGTGGTTAGTTAGTAAAACAAGAACCAAGTTAAATGAAGGTAAGCAAGGATCCTAAATGGGTGGGCTTCATTATGTACTACAAAGAAATTTGTGAAAAAAATTATAGGTATAAACTGAATTCGAATCATAACGTTAAATATAGAAATTCAGCTTTTTTTTTCTCTCTCTCCCGCGGAATGTCAAGACAACGGTTAGAAAATACCAGTACCCACAATCCCTCTCCATCCCATTAACAAGCCACACTACAAAATCAAAAGAAGCTATTTCTAGCTGAGAGCTTTACAATAACTAGTGAGGGGTCCGATTTGTGAAAAAACTAAGCTGATTTCGGTTGACTTGTTACAATAATTAGTGACATTTTTATATTTTAACATTTTGTAAAATATATCTTCACAACAACTATCAAACAGATAATGTTGAATGTATTTCACCTAAAAATCATTGATTTCATAATTCGTAAGATTTGAAAGAGCATTTCTCATGCAACGCATAGAGGAAAGAAGTTTTTCAACACTAATGATATATACTTTGGAATGTCATATAAATTATAAAATACATAATATATGTAGGCGATGTCTTCGGTGCACCCAGTTTTTTTGGTGCATTCAATGCACTCACCTCATAATCGTCATTCCAAACATGTGATTCATGTAAAAATAATGTCAATCATTACTTGTGGTATGATGAACAAGAAGCACATGAATTTGTAAAAAAATCATTAAAGATTTACTGTAATTTGAATGATTTAGGGTTAAGGTTTAGGTTTACAATTTGAGGGGTTAGGTTGGTGTTCAAATTTGAAGGTTAAGGGGTTAGGGTAATGGACTGATTAGTTGTGATTCTATGTTATATCATCATATTAGACTAATAATACCAATTAAATTTCAAAATGTGATGTATTATGGTCACTTTACAAAAAAAAAAAAAAACAACGAGTGCACCGAAGTACACCATATTATGATATAAGTAGATATTGATAATAAGCAATTTATACACCGTATTTATTGTCTTGAACTCCAAAACAAGGGGGTGCCATGGACCCGCTTGTTACATGCTAGCTATGCTCATGCGTGCCACTCTATGAGCAACCCAGTTGGTAATCCGTGGCACCGTCCTAAAATCTACACAATGAATAAAATCCAAAAAAAGGCGACAATCCGAAGGCTTGGGCCTCCAATGGAATCCTCCACCACACTATAGTTGAACTAACGGATGACCACTTCTGCATCGCCTCCGAGGATGGCAGAAGACAAACTTCTAGAAGCTGTAAGGGAGACTGCATCTCTACTGCAAGGAGTTCTGCGAGATACGAGTCAGAGATCCATTTATGTTGGACACCCAAGGCCAGAAGCACATGTCTGTCCGAGCCACAAACAACAAGGCTGGAAGAGCAGCCTGAAACTTGGACAACAACATCGAAGTTGATCTTTAGAGGCTTGAGGAGGGCATTCCTTGAGAGGACTAGCATTGTAACCACAATAATAAATTGAGTTTATATTAAATGTATTTTTTTTAAGTGAAAGCACCTTTACTGATTAGCATGGTAACAAGGATCTCGCTTAATAGGCTTGTACATCTTAAATGATTATCTCCAAATGGATATTTCATATATGAGCGATGGAATATCTTATACGTTGCAGACTCAAAAGGGCAAAGAGGAGCAGATAATTATCAAAATCAATCTAGTCAAGGCATATAACAGGCTCGATAAGGGGTTGTTGCTACTACTCTTGAGCAAGCCGGCCTCCCATAGAAGTTTATCAAAGCGGTAATAAATTGCATTACCACACCCTCTTTTGAAGTGCTCGGGCATGGCACATGTACAAAAGCCTTCCAGTTGAACTGAAATCTTCGTCAGGGATATCCTCTATCTCCCTATCTGTTCACTTTCTGTAGTTAGCGGCTAATCCACTTGATGCAAGAAGCTGTAGCAGATAGAAGATGTAAACCAGTGCAAATCATTCGTTGCAATTGGAGCTAACCCGACTCCTTTTTGCACACGATCTTTTTCTTTTTATAGGAGGCTAGTATGGAGCAAGCAGAAGTTATAGTTGAGTCTCTTTTTCAATTATGCAAGGCCTCAGGAGAGCTGGTTAGTACTGAGAAATCTCATGTGTTCTTCTCAAAGAATGCCAAGAGGGAGCTCGGCCGCAGAATTGGTGACTGCTTGCACATCCTGATAACTCAGTACTTGGGTTTCTATTTGGTGTTCTAGTTATCCATGGTCGTTTGACAAAGCAGACGTACCAGAACAACATTGATAAAATCGATCAGCGCTTGGCAGGATGGAAAGCGAATAAAATCTCACTCGCTGGAAGGGTTACCCTTGCTTTATCTTTTCTGAACGCTCTTCCTACCTATGTTATGCAAAATGCTACTTTGCATGCAACCACAATGTGAGCGGTACCACCCACCCTACCGTACCACCTATTGGCGGTTGTCCGTCCTACAGCCGCCCAAAAAAGAATTGCAGTGATCTTGAATATGAATCCTACAGCGATAAATAGAATCCCCATAAAAATACCACTAAATTGAGCACTAGTGATTTTATATCCAGTCAAAATCTTGGCTAATTCATCGAAGTGGGTAGCTCCAGTAGACTTATTGATCATGGAATAAATAGGGCGGGTAAGGCAAGGGCGAAGAAGAGGCGAGAATCGAGCGTATCACCTCACCATCGGGTGGGCATTTCATTGGCGGATCTGGGTGCGCCAACGAACGAGATGAAGAAGAATTCACTGGAGGAGCAGGCGACGAAGGTGGAAGAACCAATGACAGCGAATTCAGCGGGGTTCGTAGCCAACAAATTCGCTGGGGTTCATCACACACGTGACACCGAGACCTATGCCCAAGCTTGGTCTAGAGAGGGACGTCCAGGCTTCGAGCATATATTTGAAGACATAAGTTGGAGCATAAGGAAGAACAGTTCTCTTACTCTTATTTCATGAACTTCGAAAAAGAAGAGGAAAAATTGTTCAACTATGGTGAACGTGACATGTGTCACGTGATACGAGAAGGGTTGAAGAAAGTTGGAGTTGTCAAAGAAGAAGTCCGTTATGAGCAGAAGCACAACTAGAATCAAAGAAAGAGAGGGTAAAGAAAGATAAAGGCGACTGCAACCTTGAGGGCAAAGTGGCTTTCAAGAGGGGTGATTTGATAGAACCCGTCCATTATGAGTTACTCTAATTATTTTTAGTAGGATAATTATTCTTATGGTTAGTATAGATTTAGTCGAATTAGATTTATTATAATGGTTTTCCATTATTTTTCTATAGATATGTAATTTGGGTTTGAGTATCAATCAATGAAGGAAAATATTAATAAAAGTTTCTATCCCAATTCTCCCCAGTTCTATTCTTTAATCCCTAATTCCCAATTCTTATATCTAAATTCCTAATTTCTAACCCCAATCCCTAAATCTCTATCGTTACGAGAGCAAGACCTTAGCCTCTTCCCCCGTTATTTATTGCCCATGAGTAAGAGTTTGTATCTTCCTTTTACCTAGAAATGAGGGTTCATTATATAATAGACTCTCTCATCGTGAGGAGTAAGGTCATCATGTGTGGCTAGCAAGTGTTAAAACATGATTTTGTTTGCTTGACATGATGTAATTTATACTTGCTTGACATAATCTTCCACAAAATGGGAAGGCATAAGACAACTTATCAAAACGAAACTTGCATTTCCTTGTGTTAAAACTTAACTTTTAAGAAGTAATTCAATGTTATGCTTACCGAAATTTAGGAACTAACTTGACGTAAACGGTTGTATGTGTAGAACTTAACAAAAATACAATGAATGGTAGTAGTATCTTAATTTAACGGCATAATTAAAATATTCAATCTTAAATTAATTAAACCACATAATTAAAAAAATTTAGATGAATTACTAACTAGCTCCCCTCGAACCATACCTTAATACTCAAGTTGATTGACTTGAATCACCCGTCAGTAGTTCAGTTGATCTGACTTAGGTCCTTCATCCGTACGTCCAAAATCCTTATGTCCTTCCCTACTGTACGTTTTAGGAGTCATTTAATACCAATTTTTCAAAAATGGTACAATATCGGCAGTTGGATAGCAAAATACTGTAACGGAGCCAAATCCAGAATGGTAAAAGTAGCAGCGGTAAAAAAATGTGTCAGCCGCCTTTTAGAGGTGGAACTTATAAAACATAGTATTCCTACCGGTTTAATCATACAAAAAATCCTAAAAAAAAAAAAAAAATTATCCAGCGTCAAGACGATATCGTTTTGAGATAGATTTAGCACAAAAAAAATATCGCGCAGAGCCCTCTTCTCTGATACCAACCCTAATCAACACTTACTCCATTATTTCTCTTTCCCTTTATAGCGACACACAACTCTCCAGCAAACAGACACCAAGTCCTCTCCCATAGTTGGGATAAAATGTAACGTTTGCACTTTGCATTTGGGTTTAGTAAGACTCAATTTTAAGATTAATCGGTGAAGTTGTAAATTATACTCAATGAGTTTTTTGTGCCTGGTTTCTAATGTCCAATTAGTTAGTATTTGACTTGTTGTTATCCTCTGAAGTATGACATTTTCCCAGTATGATAGCATATTTTTCAATACTGTATTTTAACAAAAAAATTTATTTTATCTAAAAAATGGTATTTTAACAAATAACAATATGAAATGTTGAGCCACGATCACAAAAAATGCTCTATCATAGAATAACCTGATATGACATCCGGTAGGAATTTTCAATCCTAGTTTGATACTCATTTTCATTAGCATTATCAATCAATTCACCTCTAATTTGATTAATTTTTCATTGCAAGTCTGACTCGTTCTAAACTACTCTTTCAATTACTAGCCTAGTATAACCAATAAAACTGTGCAATATAGCGGAAGTAAAGTAATAAATATCAACCTGGAATGCTAAGTCTGCTATTACTTCGTGAACTTATCTATTATCTAGCCAACATAGATGTCGATTAACAGAAGCTAATGAAACAAAACCAATTAAATTGGTTCGAATTCAAGTATGAGAGAAACACTTCCTCGTTAGGCCAATGTTGTTTACTTTCCTAAATGGATTGACACAATACTTTATTGCCTAGAGTCCTCGAGTAATTTGGAATCTCGACTAAAGCAGACCAAGTCCTCCTAACATGGACTACCTGGAGGGAGACTATCCTCTACCGAAATAGACTACCAAGGCAATACTGAAAGACTCCCGCAACTGGATCGAATTCCATCACAACGCAGTGAATTGACTCACTCTTGTGTTATAGATTCACCATGTCCAATTGAAGGTGCTCTATTGACCTAATAAGATATTCTCTATTCAAGGTCTAATCACAATTGAAAAAGTGTGATAAAGACTCATATAATTCCTGAATATACCTCAATTAGATAAATAGCAAAGAGTTCAACAATCATATGGTAAAATCATCAGTCATCCTAACATACATAACTAGGGTTCCTCACACCCAAGTGAGAGGGAGATTACTCCGTAGAGATGAGCAAAAAACACAAGAAAATCCAAAGAAATCATCGTTTCTAGGTCGGATATATGCTTGTCCTTGTCGTTGTCACTTCTCGGTGCTTGGGTTGAGTGCCAAATTTCCAATGGTGGTTGGATGGCTCTAGGAAGATCCAAGGATGGGTGCTTCATCACTTCTCTCTAAGATCTTCTTTGCTCCGTTTTCATTCTAAATCTCCATCTCCTTTGCAATTTCCCATCGAAATCCACTTATCCTATGTTTTTCCCGACTCACGGTTCAAACTCACGGACGTGACACAAAGTCAGGCTGTGATATTGCACAAGAACGTGGCGTGATGTCGAGCTAGGGTATCCGAGGTCACAGGCTTATTGCTAATGTCACGATCATTGCTGTGACTTATTAATGGCCGAGAACGACATAAAAATTTGCACTGGAACCCTTGCAGATAGTCAGGGGCTCAATGATGTATGTCACGGGCATGGTCATGACTTGGGGAGCTAGGCCGTGGCCGTGACATACAACAAGAAGACCGTGACATTCCACCAAGGTCCACGGCCGTGACTTGTGCATCTAGGTCGAGACTTCTGCTGCCTTTGTCCCAAATTTACCTCCAAATGTCCCACCTATTGTTCCTAACTCATAATCACGTACTAGGATATCAAATATCACAAAAGAAGCACAACCCCAAAAAATGATCCTAACCAAGTTAAATGATCAAGAAAAGAGGCTAGATATATGTATAATTATGTTTGTATCAAATTTCATAGAATAATCTTTTCTCGCAGCCACCTGAGTATTTAGAAATTTACCCTTTTTCATCTATTTGGTAATTACCATTTGGTATGCAAAATCTTGGTCTTACAGTGGTGCCGTTTCTCAAAACCTAGAGTTTCAATACCCAATATTTCCTAACTCAACCCATAGGCAGATTTGACTTTCTAATTTTGACAACTCGGTCCAACCAATCAATTCCAATTTGGTACCCAATATTGCCCATCTTACTATTTGATGCCCAAATTTTCTCTCATTACAAAGCTGCCACCAGTGCTGGAAAAGATCCAATTGGCCTTTACAATTCATCAAATGACCCAATTTAGAAAAGAATGCCATCGAACTCCCATTCCATAGAATTTGCACTTCATAGATCGTTTCCTTCTACTGAAATCCATTCTATCCGCTCCAAATTCTCACCCTTTACAAGGCCGTAATCAAAGTGAGGACCATATACAAGGCCGTAATCAAAGTGAAAGTCTAAACCAGATTTGAAGAAACCCTGAGTTAGGATGCGAATTATACATCTTTCCAATATATACACCGATCGAAGTGAAAGTCGCATCAGGCAACTACGGAAGTACAAGGGAGACAAAACCCCGCAAAAATCTACAAATTGGCCACTTCCATGGAATCAATCTCCAGTTGCTTCACTAAGAACCTGTATCCACGCGATCTGCAAACATCAAACAGAATCAATTACCAAGGAACCTGATCTATTGCCCTCATACGTTCAGAGTAAAGAGTTAACAAATAGACAACCTGGAATTTCAGAATGCTGAGGGTCCAACTGAAGAGTATCCAGCAGCTCTCATCTCTTTCAGAGTACTAGCAACCCAGTCCAGGCCCTCGTATAACCCATCTCCCTTTAGCGCACACGTCCCTTGTATGTGCCATTTTCTGTTTTTGAGTTCGAATAGGCCCAACCCTTGGCCTACTTCCGCTGGAGTCATTGCACCTTTCTGAAAACCACCCAACATGTTGGTCGAGTATGACAGGTGTATAACAATTCTATCATTTGATTATGAAGATGTACATCACAGCTACTGACACAAACGTACCATATCCTGTTTGTTGGCAAACACCAAGATGACACTGTTAAGCATAAACGGATCTTTGATTATGGCCTGCAACACATTAGGGGGATCAGATCAATGAATGACTCTTCTTGATTCTTATAATGCAGCAAATTTATTAAACTTTGATTGCATGGGATGTGCAAACCTGAAACTCTTCCTTTGCTTTGACAATCCTCTCTCTGTCCAAGGAATCAACCACATAAATCTGCATCAAGGGCACGTATTACGCACTGATCCACAACTACAAACAAAGAATACTCAACTCCTGTGACAAGTGGAACTTTGCCTACACTCACAACAAAGCATACAAAAACACTAGCACCGAACAAAAAGAGCCACCAACAACAGATAATTATGAAAGCTGTATGTCTATTTCTGACTTGTACCAGTATTTCTATTTCTATTTCTATTTGGCGCAAATAGTTATTTCACGGCAACAAGGATTTTGGTAGGCACATGAATTAGAAATGCTGTTTAAAGGGTAAATAGGAAAACAATGCGTAGTTGCAGATATGGAGGGCACATAGTTCACAGTATAATGAATTTTTAATAAGAAAAGTTATACACGTGGTCTTACCAAGCCATCAGTATTATTGAAATAATGCCTCCAAAGTGGTCGTAATTTTTCCTGGCCTCCAACATCCCAAACAGTGAACACCACATTCTTATATTGTACTTTCTCCACGTTGAAACCTACAACAGATATCCAGAACTAAAATTTCCGAACCAACAAATAGACTATCAAATGAGGAAAATGTCCAATATATTGACCATGAAGAATGTGATCACATTCCTGCTTGTTTGTGGTGCTTCCAACAACAGGCAAATCGACCACTTACCTATTGTAGGGACCGTAGATAGAACTTCTCCAATGTGTAGCTTGTAAAGTATAGTTGTTTTACCAGCTGCATCCAGTCCCAGCATCACAACCTAGGCCAGCAATAAGAATAAGAATCAATCAAGAACTGGAATAACCAAAGTCATATCCGAGTTCCTGAAAAAGCAAACAAAGAACCACATATATATGATAACACAGGAAAAAAAATATTTTCTCACATGTATCAAACTTCAATGCACATTGCACCCTATTTGAAGACAAAAATGCACATAATTTGTTGAACTGGTGTAATTTTTATCATTCAATTATGCCCCTGTTTTGTTACAAATGCACCCACACCACCCTTCCCGAAACAAGCACACAAAAAAGGTCATTAAGTTCTCAACTATGCACTTGCACCTGTAAGTTAGCTTCTGTACCAACTACCAAGTTACTATGACTTGATTACCTGGTCGCATTCAAAGAGTTATTTGCACCAGTATTCACTCATATACAGACAATTACAAATAATGAACCACATCACATACTGAACATATCAAGGACACAATGCTGGAAAAAAGAATCAGCAACAGCACACAAAAGAAATCCCGAACTCTTCTTGACAAATAGGGACTTAAAACTTGATGCCGTCCCAGGCATTTGATGTCAACCCATCATCCATTAAATATGGCATAATTAGAGTACAATGGGATTTGAAGAGGAATCCTTCATGCAGAGGATTGCCAATATCATTCTACAGATAAAGGCATAAGAAAAAAGGGGGAAAAAGCACGAAACACGTATATAACTTGAGAAGCTTGCTTGCATCAAGCACGCAAGCATCTATGTCCAACATAACAGTGCCACTTTTGGTGAAAGAACATTAAAAGATCTATTATCCCCTAGCATTAGGCAAGGTGATGGTCCTGTGACGAATACCAGTACAAAATTAATAGCATAAACCCTTTTGGCTCCCTGGGAGTCGGAGATATAGCTAAAGACCTGCCAAGTCCAAAAACAGGACACTAACTACAGAGCTAAAACTATGCATGAACTATGAGGCCTGTCAAGTGTCAACTGAACAATCCTTTGGAATGCTGAGCAATCCAAATCCCACCCTTCCCTCATTATTCACAACAAGTCACCAGTTAAGAACGTCTTCATTTCGCAGAAGTAAAGCCTAGAGTAAAGATCTGATACCAAATTTATTACAATGCTCGGATGCACACAAACCCATCTCTCTTCTCCAATGAATTTGCAAACAGAACAAGCGGCTACGCTAGATTGAGGATAACAAGCTAAGAGTTAAGATTAAGACTAACTCCAGCGGATTAATGTGACTTACGAACAATGAAATCACTAAACCGGTTAAAAGAGCTAAATAAGAACAAATCGATCAAAATCTCATCATCAACAGACAAAACCTAGCTATGGAACGAGCTGGCAGAAGAGCGAAAGCTGGCTGTTCAATAGAGAGATTAATATCAGTGATCAAGGTCGGGCATAAGAGGAAAGAGCGCGAGGAAGAAGTACCCGCATCTCGGTGTTGCCGAAGAAAGAATCAAAGAGCTTCCGAAAGGCTTGACCCATTAGTACACCACCTCCCTCTCCTCCGCTGATGGCTTCAAGCGTATCTGAACGCCCAAGACCCTCCCTCTGCAAATGGGGCGAGTATTCTTCAATCATCCATCCAGGACTCTTCTAGCGGCTGGATCCCTCCTCCTGAAGGGGTCTTCAAGCTCAACTCCGACGCCGGAGTCTTCAATCCTTCTGGAGTGGGACTCGGATGCGTGATCAGGGATTGGGGCGGAAATTTCTCTGGCGCATCAGCGAAGAAGGAGCGAGGAACCTGTAGACCCATAGAAGCCGAAGCAAAGGCCATCTTAATGGGTTTGATCGAAGCTAACAGAAGAGGCTGCAGCCCTCTCATCGTCGAATCGGATTGCCAGGCACTCATAAAGAGATTGAAGGAAAATGTGGAGGACTGCTCGGAGCTTGGTGTTTGGTGTGAAGAGATAAGGAAGGTAGCGAAAGTGAACGAGGAGATGACTGGTGTCTCTGTGAAGTGGAGTTTTACCCCAAGACAGAACAATTGCTTGGCCCACTGGTTGGCCCATGCGATTTCGGGCTGGGACAGACAGTTTGTTTGGGTTGATAACCCTCCTCTGAATTTGCTTTGTCACATGGAGGCTGATCTGGGCAGTCTGGATTGTAGACTTCTATCCTAATTTTGGATTTTAAAGTGTTCAGATTCCCGTCAAAAATCTAATGGCAAAAATGAATCTTCCTCCCTCAAAGTTCCAACTTCTTCCTTCTTTCATCAAAACAAATCTTCCTCCCTCCAAATTCAGAAGCACCATTGAGGCTCTACTTTCTATTTCTTCCTCTCTATTTCACCATAAACCATTGATCTCCTCCATCCCTCTCTCTAATTCGTCTCTCCAACTCCCGAAATGCTTCTCTCCCTCTTACTCACTAACCTTTCCTATTCTCTTTCTTTCCAGAGACAACGAGAGGAAAGCAAAAGGAGGACAACAACTGAGAGAGGGAGCTCGCCGGCGGTTTCGTCGCCGACTTGCTGGTTAGAGCCCGGAGCACAAGTCGAAGAAGGTCGGGAAATCAGCACACACGCGTGTCAAATTGGAATCTAGAAATTATTTGTCAAATTTTTTTTATTTCAGACGGTCAAAAATAAAAAATCGGTCGGACAGTTCGAGCGGTTTGAATGGTTAACCATTTTGACTGCTAAAAACCGATCTTTATAACCGCTGCGCCTTTTGAAGGAATCTGAACTGAGCTGATGCCTTGGTGCCGGTTTTACCGGTCCGTCCGACCGGCTCGGCTCGGTCTTAATAACACTGGTATCAATTGTACATGGGCACTGGGCCGTGCTTGGTCCGGCACGGCACGGGCACGCTTCAGGCCATATATTTCGTGCCGTGCTTGGCATGGCCCGTCAGTTTTCGTGTCGTGCCATGAAAGCCCATTTGTTAACTTTGCTAGGCCCAGCCCAGGCCCGGGCACAGTTCGAATTGTGTCGTGCCTATTCGTGCTCGTGCCATGCTCGTATTCGTGTTTAATGAAAAGACGAAAACAAAAGAGAAAATGAAAAAGAAGGTGAAAATTGGACGGGGGAAGATAGTATTAACCGATAATGTTTGAGAAAAGTAACAAATAAGGGGGAAAAGAAAATAGGAAGTGTAGCTAGTGTGATTTGGCTTTGTTTAATTCTTTGTCCATTTTTACTTGTGTTAGTAATTACGTATATATCTTTATGACACTTCTAACAATAATAAATAATTATTTTTCTACTTGTTTTTTTTTGTAATACTTGAACCTATAATTCTTTTTATATTTATTTTCTATTAAATAAATATTATTTTTGTGCCATGTTCGTTCTTATCCTTAATAAAGTCTCAAAAATATTAGGCCCGACACGACCCACTTATATACCGTGCCGTGCTCGTGGCCGTGCCCATGAAGTTTAGGTCTGGCACGGCCCATAAATTATTCGAGCTCGTGCCGGGCTGACCCAATTATTTCGTGCCCGTGCTCGTGCCGTTCTCTAACCGTGTCGTGCCGTGCTAGACCGGTGGGTGGCACGGCACGGTGCCCACGTACAGTATCAATGCATAATCTTTTAGTCAATAACCCCTCAATCACATCAGCGCCACATTACTATATATGGAAGGCCTCTAACCATTTCCTTATAAATTTTAATAGATTATATCTCTTTCGTTTTAACTTATAACTTACAAATTTTTGCATTGATAAATCACATAAATTGTGCTCTTCAACAAAATGATATCTACTTTGATATATATTTAATACCAATCAATACCATGGTGCTACTGCTTGGTAAGATCATACCACGTGGTACAAAAGTTTATCATGGCGGTATGAACATAACATAGTGTATGATGGTTGAAATACATGATAATAGAAATATACGAACTGTCATTTACCACATTTATCATTGTGTACCACTAGTTACCACCCCCTATACTAGGGTGGTACAGAGTGATACTTTACAGTCCTGTATTTTTCCCCATAAATTTGTAGATCCAATAAATCAAAAAGATTTTGTTCCATCTGTGTAATTTTTTTTTAAATTAGAGCGAAAAACGTAAGTGGTAACGTATGGTATGAAATTTTTGTCAAAATCTATTGAATTTTTTTTTTTAAAATATATTGAAAATGTATTGCGAGCACATCAACCGGACACAGAGGTTCGGAGTATCAACGGATTAAAGAGGTGTGTTGGTTCGAGGGTTAGTTATTAACTCACTTTAATGTATTTAATTAATTATGTGTCTTAATTTTTTTTAATCGATAAGGGTGATCTAGCTTTGTTTTTAATTATAATGAGTTAGTAGAGGAATTCGAACCTGTAACCTTCAGATTCAATACTAGTGGTAGTACTACTACACCATTTTATTATTAGTCATTATGCTTACCAGTGGAGAAGCCAAAAATCTTAGCGAGGGGAGGCTAAAAATCTATGCTCAGTGAAGTCGAACCGGCGAGGAGGGATTAAAGCATTACCAACTACTATATGTCTCAAAATTATTACCAGATTACATGTTATATGATTTGCGAGTAGAGGGTGGGTGGGCTATAGCCTCCCCTAGGCTTAAGGTGGCTCCGCCGGTGATGCTTACTTTACATTATACGATCATGAGCTTCACGTCATGTATGATTTATTTGGTTTAAGCTTATGCCAAGTCAGGTTAACTTTTAGTTCTCAAGTATGCATATCAGGGTCAAGGTTCATGAATAACATATTTTTTAAGCAAGTCCAGTTACATTTTAAGCAAGTACGATTTTATAAGTTAAGCATGTCATGAACTTGGATCTCCCACGGTGCGGATGATACTCATGTCAAGCAAGTAGAAGTCACGTCATGTTAAACAATATCACATTCTAAAACTCAAGTTAGCAGAGAACATTCTATGTCAATCTCTTGGAGTAGTTCGAGGATTGAGTACCCAAATCAGGCCATTCATCGTCTTTCTCGACTATGTGGTGATAAAGATGGAGATAGAGACCCCATACTCCTTAATTCCTTCCGTTTTTTTCAATGGAAGACTAATAAAGTTTTTTTCTTTTTTTTTCTAAGTAATAATTGGGTTTATTTAACTCGCTATTCCCACTGAATAGTTAAGTTAATTATTCACAAGATTATTTGAAAGAATATTGGTACTTGGTTGAATGATTATCAAGTTTAATTAACTACACTCTTCTAAGATGAGGACAACTTAATTTCATGTAATTGGGACTATACCAGAGATCTTTAACATTTAGGTTGTATCCTCTCGACCTGCATCATGAATTAGAGGGAGCATATGCATAATCTATATTTAAATTCACATACATCCTCAAAACAATATAAAGAGGTTCTTTTTGAGTATCCACATAAATAACTTTTTCTTGCTCTCTGGGTGAAGCAAAGAAGGAGTTTTTAGACATTTTATTTTAGCCTAATAATAACTTTAATTGTAAGCCCAAATCAAATCCACAAAAGACACCATATACAATTACTACGTATCCAACAAATGAGAAACTTATTATTAGGTTGGATAGCAAATTGATTCTTGACTAAACCCAAAAGCTAAAATGGCTTTATAACTTTTTCGGTGTGCTTATCAAAATGATTCACAAAACAAATAAACAAAATGAATTAGACATAATTGACCCAAGAAGACATCACACTAAAATCATAAGGAGAATTTTTGTCATGCATAGCCGATAGTAAATATGCCCAATACAATCCATTAATTTGACATTTGTTTTCGATCTAATTGTTATCAAAGTCTATGTTGATCTATAAGGTTGCTTATTTTGTCATCCTTATATATACAAGACTTCAAAAATGAGATGACTAACTTATAATCTAAGAGAAAGATATTAGTAAGTTGCATTAAGCATGCCAAAATTTTTTCAATCGGACTTATTGAAATCTACTAGATTTATTGAAAAAGTTACTACCAAAGAGATCCAACGAAAGCTTCCCTATTATAATTCTTTCAATTTGCATTTTAATTCGAGGTATAATATACAATTCGGGTATAGATGATTGATTGTGAATGTTACTTTGTGGAGAGGATTGACATTTGAATCAATGTAGTTTATTGTGCGTTATAAGTTAGCGGTTTAAGAAAATAAATTTTGATTTCATTTAATTATTTTTGTGATAAAGTGATGGAGATGTATCACCTCCTCCAGCAGGAGTCAAAAAACAAACACATCTACCAACCCCCACCAAAAAATTGCAAGAGCTCATTGAATTAAAAATAAAGGACGGAGAGAAGTTAAATTTAGTTTCAATTTTACGACTAATTTTCAAATGCTACCTTTCAATGTAAAATTTATAACAATGTATTTATCCAATGTAAATTTGTCAAAGTTGTCAAAGTTAGGAATGAGTAGTAATATGCTGGATGCGAAACCTATCCACGAAAAGTCGAAGTAGACTCTGATAGTTACTTTTGTAGGAATTTTACAACAATGTTAAATATAATAATAATAGGTAGGTAACAATCTATCTATACTCTTTCATTTTTGTGAACGTCAAATTCATTCATTCATTC